TGCCAGATTTGAGAGAAATAAGCAACCAGGTCTATGAAAACAAGCCCCAAAGAAGCAACAGATACATGATGTTGTGTAATTTGAAACCAAAACTAAGGCCTCAGGATGACTTTAAGACTTGAACATGGTCATTTTTGTTTTGTAACATTGACATTTAAAAAAAAAAAAAAAGTATTTATAAAAAAAAAAATCCCGATCCCCGATTTTTTTCTCCCGATTCCGATCTTTTGAAAATCACGTGATCGGCTCCGATCCCCAATCACGTGATCGGATCGGGACATCTCTACTTACTATACATATAAATAAAATAGACATACTATATAGAAAATATGTGGGCTTTACACAGCGTAATGTAATGTCTATGTTACTGGTCTACTTAATATTCAGCAGTCTGATAGCATGGGGGAAAAAGCTATTACAGAATGATATGGATGCATCTTGTCCGGTTGGTGGAGTTAAACCGAAAGGCAGTAATTCTAGTTATGAGTTTGTTTTGGTCGGGTCGTGTTTGTCATTCTGTGTGTTCACTGGGACTTGATGGTGTCCTCATGTCTAGAGCAATAAGTATATCTGATTGTGAATCCGTAGGTTTTCCTTTCCAGGTTTCGGCAGGTTAGAAGAATGCATGTAATACAAAATATCTCTTGTTCTGCTGCATTGATTTTGATCTTAATCTGACGCTGTTAAAGGAGCGAAATGCCTAATTGTAGTGCAGCCGCAGTACCATTTCAAAAACTGATTTGTAAATCCTCAACTGAACAGGTTTATTGAAGCGTGCATTGAAAAACCGACTGATCTGTGACTGATCTGTTGAAACGAACTCAACAGCAATCAAGTTCTCATTTATCACACATTGATATCACTGATATGGCTCATTAATGTTCAGCACACCGTTCCGAATACAGAACTCATTTCCATCTACTTTATTTCCTCGACTCCAAAAGTGAAAGTATAAAATATGCCTTTTTTATTTGCGTATTTTAAAGTCCAAATCTCCTTGTTTTTTTTCGATGTGTGTGCATTTAACTCTCTCTTAGTTTGTTGTTGGAAGCTGTATTGTAGGTGGTAGCAGAAATAAACTGTTAACTGACTGAATCCAGGTCAGCTGTCGTTGCACATTACATTAGATTAGATTAATGTGTGTGTCCTGTTGTCTTCTGTGATGTGTGTGTGTGTGTGTGTGTGTGTGTGTGTGTGTGTGTGTGTGTGTGTGTGTGTGTGTGTGTGTGTGTGTGTGTGTGTGTGTGTGGTCAGGACTGCCTGTTAGCCTTATAAGGCCAAGCTTTTAAAACCAGGAAAAATGTAAGGATAAGAAAAGATGTGAGTCACTATTTTCCCTCATCTGCTCAGAAGCACAAAAACATCCTCTTCTCTGCCCTTAACACCTTCCTAAGGGGTTACACAGCGTGTGTGTGTGTTTCCATGTGTCCAGTAGTCCTTCAAGTTCCTCTTTTGTTCCTAATGAGGTGGTGAGCTATTCACACACAGCCAACTTTCCTGAGAGATTTGAAGAGCGCAGGAGGAGCAGCTGGTTGTGGATCTGTGGAGGGGCTCTCGTGCCATATCAGTGTAAAGTGCAACGAGTTAGAGAGGAGGACATCATTAATAACGTGAAGCAGAGAGATGTGTACTGGAGGGAGTGTGAGAAATATCCAAAGGAGACGAGATACACACACACAGCTGAAAGGCAGAGAGTGGAAGACATTTTGAAATTTGACAGAGTAAAGCCAAAAAATCATCTTGACATTTTAAAGCTGGTACAAGTTGGTTTTTGCATTCTGCCTTTATGAGCTGATTATCAAAAATGGTTAGCTATAATTTTACATGACTACAGGAAGTGTTGCAGCTCTAAATGGATGTCTGCATGATTGCACGTGACCTACTCTAAATTTCAGGAATACTATTTGTTCACTGCCTCTACAGTGATTTCATAAAACTGTCTCGTGTGTGTGTGTGTGTGTGTGTGTGTGTGTGTGTGTGTGTGTGTGTGTGTGTGTGTGTGTGTGTGTGTGTGTGTGTGTGTGTGTGTGTGTGCAGAGTGCAGTGATTTGCGCTCTCAGCAGCCTGGGTCTCATCCAGACAAATACGTTTGGCAGACATACTGTAATGATAGAGCCCAAACTCTCTGTCAGACACACACAGACGCCCTCACTCCTTTTACATGTTCAGTCTTAAAGTTTTACTCTTGAATCCTCATTCAAAGTATGCTTCCACTGTTTGTACAATCTAAACAAATATATAATGACCTCTCTTACTTGAGGGCTTTTGAACACAGACAATCCTCTGATCCCTAATACTGTCAGATATCTCTTCTCATTGAACTCCTGTCTGTGTTTTGGCCCGTCTGGTTTGCATAGCAGGCCCCTGCTTGTGTCTGTGACTAACTTGAAGGGGCTTTTTAACAATCCCGCTCTCTGATACTCCAGCTCTCCTCCTCAAGAAAGACTGAGGGCCGAATGCATGTAGCACGGTCGCAAGGCCTCCTGTTGTGTTTTAAATGACACGTATTTAACTTGGTGTTGCTTCATTAGACAGTAGAAAGGAATGATTGGGAGGGGATGCTTTGGTTTGGGCGTTAGTCTGTTGGACCATAGACAAATCATCTTTCTCCAGTTTTCTTTTCCAAGTCTGACTTTCTCTGTAGTGGAAAATAATAAAAATTGTGAAACTGTGGCACAGGCCTGACAGAGGATCGTTCGTTCTGTCTGCACCTTTGCTTCTCTGCCTCACAATGACATAAAGAAAGATGGACTGATGCATTTTTTTTTTTCAAGTATTATTATTGTATAGTTTGTGTTTGGCAGGCACGTAGAGGTCAGAATAAAATATGTGTGTGAGGATTACAGAAAGGGAAAGAAAAGACTTGGGTCAGAGCTGCTTGTAATTCGTTGAAATGTGGGAGAGGGGAATGTGAGAGTGGATGGAGAAATTGATTTTTGTTTAATATAAAAACCACACAATGTAGTACAAAGTCTGAATGCATTTGTGTTTGTTTGTATGTGTGTTTGTTTTTCACATGGTATAGAAATAAAATCCTGTTTTTGTTACCAGTCAATCAATACCCACGGAGCAGCTGTTCTCTCTCTTGGTTAGGTTTAGCGTTTATATTGAAACGCTTTTGGTTCTCTTTATATATTATCTCAGTATAGTAACACTACTTTTGTGCATCAGATGTGTGTGTGTGTACTGTGTGTTCATTGAGAGGGCTAGTTTAGACGGTTTAGACCTGCACTCTCCTTGGGGGAGAATGTTTGGGGTTCCTATTTGAACCTTCTTCTTCACAAAGCCCTACTTCCCCTTTTGAGGCCCCCTGCCACACACACACACACACACACACACACACACACACACACACACACACACACACACACACACACACACACACACACACACACACACACACACACACTCACACTCACACTCACACTCACACTCACAC